GGAAAAAAAAAAGAAGGCCTTAAAATCCAAGGAATGGAGACTACCTTGATAGTCAAGCAAACGGGTATCCACGGAATAATTATTTTACTTATTGTTTAAATATATCAATAACATAACTTAAATATAACTTCGAGCTAATATATATATATATAGCTAAAATAAAATTTAAACTATAATATAACTAGACACAACAGGCAGGCCAGGCCCACTGCGTCCCTCCTGGAACACCTCCGGAGATAAAACAGGACCGCTGGATGAATCCCCTCAGCAGGCCGCGCAGCGCTCCCACCCCGGAGCCGCGGCGGGGCCCAGCACGGCCTCCGCCGCCACACGCGGGAGCTCGGGGCACTTGCTCCCCCCACCCCGCCCAGCGCTTACCGCGTACAGGAACCCAGGGACGGACAGGGACGGAGCACGGAGGAGCACAGAGGGGCACAGAGGGGCACAGAGGGACACGGAGCGGGACCGCGGGCGCTGCCCAGGCCCGGCCCTTCCGCTACGGCCGCTGCGCCCCGCGTGCGCTCCTGGGCGCCGCCATTGCCGCGTGACGTCACCCGGCGCGTGGCGTCACTGCGCGGCGCCGGCCGGAGCCGATCCCGATCCCCATCCCCAGGGAAGGCGGGAGCGGCCGCGGGAATCCCGCCTGGAATCCCGCCTGGAGTCCGCGCTGCGGCCGCTCGCTGTCACGAGCCCCAGACGTCTGCTGTTCGCCCTTGTTCGGGTGTTGGAGCGGTGCCGCTTTTACGGGCAGAGCTACGTGTGGCACACGGCTCCAGGGAAGGAGCGAGCGCCGCCGGGGTCACGGCACGGGTGCTTTTTTCCTCTTGTGTGATCCGTGCCTTTCGCAGCCGTGTCCTACCGATGGAAAAGGACGGCATAAATTAAAATGGGAGGTTTTTGTTTCTTCTGAAAGGTGATGTTCAGAGGAGCGTCTTGCTGTGAGACGGGGAGTGAGTTAAAAGCTTTGGAGGTGATAGAGACTGGGACGGGAGGTTCAAGTACAATTACAACAACAGTTACAATCATTTCTTCTGCTTGGTGTTTGCAGGACTTTCATGGTTCTGTGAGAAGATGGGAAAACAGGATTGTTTTCTCCAGCTTTTTCCATTTTTTTTTTAATGTCTTAAGGCCAAGGGCAGAAATAAGCATATTAAATATTTTCAGTGACAGTTTCAGTTCCATTTAGTCATCACTAATGACATCACAATGCACAATAAGGAGTTTCTTTCAATTCATATTCCATGACCAAGGCTACAGAGCTTTTGGTGCTGGGTCCTGATGTTTTGTACACGATGAATTTAAATCAGTGATGGTCAGGAAGTGAGTTCAGGGAGCAGGGACTCCCCTGTAATTAATTTATGGTGTACTTCATGTAAAATACATCAGTGTAGTTTATTAGTAGTCTAATTATCAGGATTAAGTGTATTTTTTGGCACTACTCAGAATTTTTCCTGGGCTTGTCTGCACAGAAATATGTACACACCCTTGAGTTTACTTGCTTGTAAATATGTCTTGTGATGTGCACAGTAAACATGTCTCAAATACTTAGAAATCCCCCCAAAAACGTGTAAAATACTGTTCTTACCACACAGAAATACACGGGCAGTGTGTCTGTGGAGATGGATACAGTGCTGCTGGTTTATTTGTAGAACAGTGAGTAAATTGCTCTTTCTGTGGCAGAGAGGACACATTGCAGGAGTTTTCCTGGTGAGCGGATTTTGGCAGAGAGGGGAAGGTCAGGCTGCCAGACAGGAGGGAGCAGTGTCACTTCTGCCACCACAGCGAGCCCTGTGAGCTGAGGCTGTGACTTTGGCACGTGGCAAAAACCCCCAGCCTCAGCTCTGGGGCACTCAGAGGATTCAGTTTTCAGACTCCCCCTTCTTGGTGTGCATGGTTTGCATTTGCATGGTGCCTTTCACAGTACAGCCATCAAACCTTATTTACGCAGGACTGAGCTGGAAGCAGTGATGGCCAACAGGACTGTCTCACCCACAGGAACTGGGACTGCATCCTCATGCCAGCCCTAAGGAGGGGTCTCAGCACTCTTCATGCATTCCTTCATTAAAAGTCTCTTTCCTTACAGGTTGTTTAAGTTCAAAACAAGTGACAAAAAAGCTTGTTTACAATATTTTTCATTTTCTCTCTTCTTGTTTATTGCATGTAAGCAAAAGTAAATTTGCAGAAGCAAAAGGAACAGATTGCTCTGAAATTCTGGTGTGGTTGACTTGACACTGAATAAAAATAATGAAAAAAACTTGGACAGAAGAGTTCTTAGCTGTTACTCCTAGGTATAATTACATGTCCTTTCGTAGTTGTAGAATTATCAGCTTTGTCCTGAAAGAAAGATTTAATAGGAAATAATTGCCAAATTATGTTGAATTGTTCTTTCTAATGTAATTGTGCACAGGTTTTTACAGGAGATAGGAGTATTCTTATTTTTTCTGTAAGAATTCATGTAAGGGGTGCAGCTGATTTTCTTCTTGATCACTACTGAGCTCTCTGTTCTAGACTGAGGGACTGAATTACAGGGCTTTGGTTATTTGAGTTGCTTTGAAATGGGATAACCAAGGGAACTAAACATTTGCTTAGTATTACAGTAACAATGATCTTTCTAAGCCTTTGTACAGTTAATCTTTCTGAGCCTTTGTGACCTGAAAGAGGCCCAACTTTGGTATGTTGTGACAAGGCTTTGTCAATGAGATGTTCACCTTTGTGTCTAACAGAGAGTCAGCTGTTAAACTCCTGGTAAATACAATTCCATTATTGACAGTGCGGAGTGAGCTCTTAGTAAAACTGTAAATGACAAATGAAACACGTCTGCTTTACCCCCCTAGGGCTTCTTTAGATCAACAGTTATTTAAATACCAGGAAATTGTGAATTGAAGATAATAACCTGTATTAATAAGTTAAGGAATTATGTCATTTGCTTGCATAACTCATGTCAGTACATGCAAATTTTGTTATTTCATCAGTAGTTTCCAAGGTATTTAAGCCTTGTCTGAGAGCCCAATAGAAGTTGAAGGGTTTGATGTCCTCATTACAGAACTTTACCTGGTAATATATCCTGTTCTTCCCAGCTGTAAATTTACATTCCTGCAGATCAGAAGCCCAGGGATTGTGGTTTGGTCTGTACTGTGCAGTATTACATAATAGATATTATGTGTTTTTTCAATTAATATTTTGATTTTTTATGAAATATGGAAGACTTCTCCTAAGAAAGCCAGAGAATGTTTTGACCAGTACCTTTAATTTTGGGATTCATGTAGCTGAATTCTGCACCAGGAACAGTTGAATGTGCACGTCAGCAACTGATGTAGGCTTTCACTTAGTAAACAAATTCTTTGGTTTCTCTCTTTTTTTGTTTTTTTTTTTTTGTCTCTTGCAGGAATGTCAGTATGTGCTTAATTACTGATTTTGATAGCTGTTTCTGCTAACAAAAGAATGTGCCTGTACTGTGATTTATATTAATGCTCACAGTGCTCTGTGCACCTGAAGAACATGCAGCTGCTGGCCAGTGGGAGACCTGATGCCTCCTGTGCTTTGCAGACTGTAAAATTTGCTTTTCTCTCTTTTCTGTCATGCAGCCAGATGAGGCTTGTTGGTCCTGAAGTGGCAAGGTAAACCTTGGTTCTTTGGCTTAAGGCCTTTGTTGTCATTTTCAGAAGTTCTGGAATACTGTTCTAGGACTGGCAAGATCTTATGGCGTAGCACCATGGAAAAAAATAACTCTCTATTGTTGAACCTCATTTGAAAATATATACCCCTTTGCCTGTACTGCCTTTCTTTACTTTTTCTCTGTTTGTTCTTCCATCTTCACAAATGCATTTCTCACTTACCTGTGTGAAGACAGCATGCTCCTCCTTCAGTGAATGTGCTTATAAAGCCAGGAGAACAAGATAATCTGTAAGCATGAGATTTAAGAGTACTGGCATGTTTAACTCTAGTTCTAGTAGCAAAGACTTTTTCAAGTACAGGTTTATCAAGGTGAAGATTTTTCTGTGTGATGGAAGAATAACAAACAAAGACAACTCCATTTAATATGAGAGAAACATTTGGAATGGTTGCAAATGCAGTCAGATGCAGTAGATACTTCAGAAGGCATTTTCAAGGGAAGAATGCTAAAGGAAGTTATGAAGATAACAGGAAATTAAATAAAAGTCAGTATTGGTTAACCAAGGGGAAATGGGAAATCAGGCCATGTCCCTTAAGAGGATTTTCTGGGCAGAAAAATAAAGTGCATGTAATCTTGGACAACCTCAAAATATTATTCATAGGGGAAAAGGAATAGGACAGAACTCCAAGGGAAATGAAATTGGCTAAAGAGGAAGGGAAATGTATGTTTCTTTTGGGGGAGCATATAGATATGTATATTGACAGATTAACCCATCAGCTATATGGAGTTTACTTGCATTTCTTAAAGTCTTGTGGACTAATCTTATTTAATGAATAACTGTGATACAATATTAAATTTGCTGATGACACAGTTATTAATACAGAGGGGAATTATGATAGCGAGGCCGATTGAAAGGACCTTGAGGACCAGTATAATTGGATTAGTTGTATTATCCAAAGTACAGCACTATTCAGCTAAAGCTAATGCTGAGAATATATACCATTAAGATGGGACTTAATTAATTTTTGGTCACTGTGGATGACAGTAGTAATTGACCACAAGATTAACTGTGAGCTGCCAATGTAGTATATTTGGTAAACTAACTCTTGTACAGATATTCATTCTGTGCAAGAGGCATTATTTCCGAGATATTTTTTATTTTTTGTACTATATTCTGATCACCTTAATTCAAGAGAGGTGAAGTCAAACTGCAACAGATGCCAAGGGAACTGCTAGGGTGCTCAGGAGAATGAAGAGCCTATTTTAGGAGTGAAAACTAAATTCTGAGTTTAGCTTGTTTAATCCAGGATTAGAGCAGATATGACTGCAGTCTTTACATACCAGGAAAGGAAGAATAAAGTAAAGGACACTAGCACAAGAAGAAACTTGGTAAACTCGCCAACAGTAATTTTATGTAGGAGATCTAAAGTTTCTGTGACTACTAATGAGTAAAGAATACTTGAAGACAAACAGTTGTTAGTTTTAATATAATATTAGACATGAGTGTGACAGTGTTGATGGTTGTCAGAGCAAGGAACTTGACTCATCAGCTTCCTCTTATGAATATAGCAGAGCCAGTTTTTACAATAGAAAATCATTCATTTAAACTTTGTAAAGTAGTTGGGTATTAGGTCTTACTGCTAGGTGAAATCATATAAATAGCTGGAAGATTTGAAGAAAAACAACACTTTCTGTTTTCTCTGTTGTTAGTCTATCTTTTTGCATGTGCCTTTAACTACTTTTGGACAGAGGGCAGCAGATCAGACACTGTAGGAGCACATTACTAGTTCTCAGAGAAAGACGGTGAGCACAATGACTGTGATTTTACAGATTTTATATGTTACATAAAAATAAATATAAGGATCTTTTCTGTTTTCTTGTAAAATAATCTGTTTGATTTTATAGATCTTTTTGGAGGGAACTAAGCTACAGTTAGGAATATGGGAAACCAGGCTACAGATGCAATCGCATGGAACACAATCCAGTGTTTTTCCCTTTAAAACCCATTTATTTATATAGCTGTTACAATGAGATGACCAAAATGGCAAAAGAACAATCAAAATTTTTTTGCAAATGACAGTAGTGAAATAAAGCAACAGTTTCTTAGCAACAAACTGGAAAATACACTAAATAATATATTTTACCTGCTGAGGTTTTTGTGTGCTACATTCCAAGCATTGTTCTGAAGTAGATTCATATTTTTGATCATGTTTCTTTTATATTATTCTTGTTACAGGTTTGCCTTGACACGGAGATTTCCTGAAGAACCACTGTTCATGGCTACATTTTTACTTGGAGTACAAATAGAATAAAAACAACCTTGTTTTGTAAGGCTAAGGGATTGGATTTAACATCAAAATTGCATTTTTAAGAGTCTGGTGGACTGTAAAAACCAATTCCAGTCAGAGGTCGCTCATTTGGAAATGGTGAGTGACAGCTGCTGCAGCTTTGGCTGTCTCTCACTGGCGGTAAACAGACAAAATTCTGAATTGAACTCCTGCACAGTTCAGGTGCTGAGTCCTGAGCAGAATTGTAATTACACAGTGCATAACCTACATTGTGTACATTATAAAGTGGTATTTATTTTTCTTTGGACTATTAAATTAGAGAAAATGGGAAATTAAGAATGATTTTGTTTTTATGGGTTTTTTTCCCCAACATAATTAAAAAATACTTTGCTGAATTTTTCCTTCTTTTTTTGGTTTGGCTATTGCGTGAAAAATTCTGGCTCTTAATCAGGAGCACACGTGTTTTGCCTGAAAGCTTTTCTTGGCATGTCTTTATCCCCCAAACCAGTTCCTCCATATTTCAGCTGATTCAGGCATTGCAATACATTCTGGGACCTCGCAAGTTTTCAATTTCTCTCTGAATAGTTTAATTTAGAGGTAGATTCTTTTGGTACGTGTAACAGGTATGGTGAGGAACACAACTTTTTCAGAGTAGTTTCTAGAAGGCAGACACCTCACTGCTGGGTAGCAAAGGAGAACTGTGCATCTGTCCAACCTGACAAATCACCCCAGAATCTTAGATAGAGTCAGAGTACCAGAAGGTACAAAGTCCTTCTATGTATGTTGTCTTTCTGAAGGCATGAATAACACTCTCTCTCTTCCACCAGGTATGGGTGCCACTTTCCCAGGTGCTCTGCAGTTGTCTTCCTCAAGGAAGGATTATTTGAAATCAGCCTGGTACTATCTATCCAAGGTCACATAGCCCCTGCGTTAAAATGAAGGCTCCAACTCACTCTGGATTTCACTAAAGCAGCATGAAATAGCTCTTGATTCTAATACAATAGCTATGACAAGGTTGGAGTGAAGCTGAGAGTAGAGTTTCATTTGAGAGAAGAGAGGAGAGGAAAAGGGAGGAGCTGAAAGCAGCAGCAGTGGAAGGGAAGTCATACGTGACTTTAATCACAGATGAGAATGAGAGACCACTTGTCTGCACGTTTACTGTCAGAGGGGATTCATTTTTATGTATGTGGGTTTGGAACAAAATACGAAAGCTTTATTCTTTATGTCAAATGTATGGGTCACAATGAGATATGTTTATATTTAATTCCTTCTGTGTTCTTTATTCTAGTATTTAGTGAAAAAAATAATATTTTTTTGTTATTCTGCTTTTCACATTTCCAGGATATTTGTAGATATCTTTGACATATCTACAGATTTTAAGGAATCATGTCTGCTCAGTGTTTCCTGGACTGAGTGAGAAGGACAGTTTTTAAAGGCAGCAAGGAAGAGATAAATGTTTACACATTTATAAAAAACTCTCTTCCTTAGTGGCTTACAAAGTTTATGTAAAATATAACATGAGAAATCAGCCTAATTGCATATTTAAAATCTGTATTCTTCAGTCTTTAAAATGGAATTCTGGAATTCCTTGTTTGAAAACTGCATTGAGTTCCTAGTTCAAGGCATTCAAAAGAAAATACCTTTGATCTCAGAAGATCTCTGATTCATGAGAATTACTTGCAGGGTGAAATAACCACAGATTGGTTATTGGTATTGATCTGTGCAAGAACTTGCAAAAGGATTTTCCTCACTAACTGTGTTTGGAATTTCAGTATGTTTTCCTAATACTTTTGACTGGCAGAAGCCTCCATGTCAGGATTCTATATTTGAGGAGGGAACATTGTCTAAAACTCCTTTTTTGATTTCCTCTCATAGGGCTAGTTCCTTACCTACTCCAGGAGGACTTAGGTTCAGTTACAGCTATTTATTGTATTTCTTGTCTAATTCTCCTTGGTTAAACAATGTTCAAAAAAGTGTTTCTCATTTTAATTCATCATCATGCCTTGAAAATGCCAAATGGTTTTATTTTCTATTACATAACACTTTAATTATTTATGTGTATATTGGATTAGATTTTCCTGCTAATAGTTCTGTTGTACATTTGAAATTAATGGAGATCCTCTAATTTTTTAATGTTTTACTAGTTTATCTGAGCACAGGATTTGGCCTAACTGGTAGACAGAGGGGACATAGGGGACAATGGTTATTTTTTGCTAGATAAAAGCTGAGGTATAGAATAAAAATTGATAAAATTCTGGGCAATATACTATATAGTATCATATAATCTTTATGATTTCTGGAATTACTGCTAATCTTTTATCAACAAAACTTACTTGGTCACGTGGGCATTTCACAAGAAAAAGACATTGTATCCCCTCAAATAAGCCTTGTCAAATATTTACAGGTTTTTTAATTCCTGGTCTGAGTGTGACTGATGTGTTCATATAAACACTGCAAAGGCCGGTCTAGAGGTCTGGTGAATTACTTACGACAGTAAATGCCAAGTCTAGCTCTGTATGATGATTCTTGTCCTGTATGCATTTTGCATCCCCAAAAGAAGCTTTCTTACTAATTTTTTAAAGATTATCCATGCTTATTTGTCTATGAATCAGAGGTAATTAGCATACTTTTATTTTGAGAAAAGTACTCTCTCTTCAACCCCCAAGGCAATCCTTTGTGAGCCAAAATGGTAAAGGCATCCAAGGCCTAATTGCATATATCAGGAAAATTATCAGTATGGGAATCTGTGCTGCTGCTGTGAGTGTGAGTGGTGTGTAAACCTGCATTTAGAATGCAAAAGGTGAAGAATAAGAATTTATGAAGAGTGTAAGTGATGTCTTCGTCAGAGTTTCACAGTTTACTGCCAAAGAAGTAATTTATTTTTTTTCTTTTAAACATTAATGTAAAAGCGTTCATGGGGGGAGGAACCTGTTTTGGACTTTTCATTAAAAACATCACTTGTTTTCCGTTTCCCCGGTGTAATTTGATTTGACACAGCTGTGAGACGGGCCACACAGGTGGGGTCCCAGCGCCCTGGCGCGGAACGCGGCGCCCTCAGGGGAGGGGTCGGGGAGCAGCGGCCGAGGCGCCGCCGCCGTGCGAGGGGAGCCCCGGGGCCGCGCTGAGGGGGCCGCGCCCCCGCGCGTTCACCGCCCTGCCCTGGCTGGGGCTGGGGCTGGCCCGGCCGGGGCTGCGGCGCTCACCCGGGAGGGAGCCGAGGGGCTGCGCCGCGGGACGGGGGCGGGGAGCGTCACTGCACCACGGCGACCGTCCCTCCTCCTCCCGGGCGGGCGGAGAGGCGGCACCCGGGCACCGCGGCGGGGCTGTTCCGCTGCGCTCCGCGCCCTGCCCTGCCCTCCTGCCCCGCCGGTGAGCAGCGAGCCCGCAGCCCAGGGCTCCGGCCGAGCCTTCTGGCGCCCGGGGGCGCTCCGGTCCCCGCGCCCTCGCTGCGGACAGCGGTGGCCAGCGACCAGGGCAAACTTGGCTCGAAACTCCCGCCCGCCGGGGCACCAGCGGCCGCAGCGGGCTCTCGGGGCTGCGGGCGCCGGCCCCGCCGCCTGCCCGCCCGGGCGGAGCGGAAAGTTTGCCGGCGGGAGG